TGAGAAATGTAAATAGCCATTTACATTACATTTACCGGAGGAAACTGTGACCAGGGTATAAAATAACTGAGTAAATAAATTTATTGTATTAATTTTTTTTTATGGGGAGGGTTTATGAGACAGGGTTTGTCTTTGGCTTGGAAGCTGTTGTGGAAATGGCTCTTGTAGACCAGGGTGTTCTGGAACTCCTGAGTGCTGGGATTAAAGGCATGGCCCACCAAAGCCCGGGTAGAGCTTGCTCTTACTAATGCAGAATTCTAATAGGTGACCTCCTGTAAACAATGTTGTTCTAAATGGATGAAGCATTGCAATAACTCTGTGGCCAATCTCTGCCAGCAAATCTCCACGCAAGATTTCCTGAGTCACACCTTATTTGGTTGTGGTATCTAACGCTGTTAATCCTACAGGCTAGGAATTAGGTCTGCTGAAGCAGGAAGAGTTTTAGTTCAAGGCCCACCTTGGATAAACATTGAGAACTTTTTTTGGTGGGGGGAAGGGAATGAGAGACAGGGTTTCTCTGTGGCTTTGGAGGCTGTCTTGGAACTAGCTCTTTTAGATGAGGCTGGTCTTGAACTCACAGAGATCTGCCTGCCTCAGCCTCTCAGGTGCTTTGAGAACCTTACCCCAGGTGTTTAATGCTGCCTTCCTGCATAGGGACAGTATATAGTCATATTCAGCCTGAGCCTGTGGGTTAGCATAAATACCCTCACCAAGAATTTTATCTTCCGGGGCTTCATAAGATTCCTTTATGCCTTCAGGCTCAAGGAGCCTTTTTCTGAACATGGCATAGCAAGGTTTGTTTTTTTTTAAATATAATCAAGCAGCCAAATAAATTACCTTCTAACCAGAAAGAAGTATGCGTCCATGTAAGCTTCTACAGGGGATGCCAGATTTTGAAAGAAACACATACCAGCCTGGGAATGTTCTCAGTTAGAAACAGTGTCACTTTGGAGTGAAAATGAAGCAACATTTGGAGAGCCTGGGACGTTCTTGCTAAGAGATGTTTTATTTCTTTGCATGTCAAAGCTTTGCTTGCACAATGCAATACTTAAGTGTAAACCGTTACTATTCCACAGTGCCTTCCCCTGAATTTGGGATGAACTCTCAAGTACAGTTGCTACCAATCATTGTCAATCTGTGGCTGTCACCCTGTTAAAGGGTGCCCATGAATGTAATAGCTGTTTGAGTATGGGCTATGGAGACTATATGAGACAACTGATTCTTTAATATTCTTAATATCCTTCAGGTATATAGGTTGCCATGCATAAGCCATCTGTCCCTGAGGGTGTTTCTTTCTCTTTTTTGGGGGGGGTTTCAAGACAGGGTTTCTCTGTGTAGCATTGTAGCCTATTCTAGCACTCTCTGGAGACCAGGTTGGCCTCAATCACACAGAAATCTGCCTGCCTTTGCCTCTACAGTGCTGGGATTAAAGGCATGTGCCACCAACACCGTTTGAGGGTGTTTTTTAGAAGCTGGGTTTTCTACCTTGGTAGCTGGGTATATTAATGGTGTAGGAGTAACACCTTACAAGAATAGTCATGATACCTGGGTGGAGTAGTTGCCTCGAATTGGATTGATTGTGCCTCTGAGGCATCCCAATGATCTTTAAGCCTAGTAATGATATCCTCATGAAAAGTTTCAATTTCCTGCATCATAGAAGATTCCAAGCATGTTAATGAAACTGTAAATTGCGCTAACTGCTTCTCTACATGTTTTTCTAGGTCTTTAATACTCTCATCCTTAGATAGCATCTGGATGGTATGGAATCTGCCTTCTAGTAATTGGAGTGTAGATTGGAGTTCATGATTTGCTGATTTTGAGATCTCAGCAATTGACTGTATGGACCTATCTAATCTATCAGCCCTCTTCTGTAAATTATCTTCCAAACATTCAAATCTAGACTCAAATTTGTGATCTGCTACCTTCGATGCTTCAATAATTGATTGAATGGCATTGTCCGATTCTTCTACCCTATCCTGGGTATTTTGAACCTTGCATCTAGTTTCTGGGTCACAGAGCCTATCTGAGTTTCTAGCTGGCTACAGATATTCTTTGGTTTGTCAGGGTACTCTGACAGGCTAGCCTCTAACACCTCAGATATGGAGGATCTCTCTGTGTTTATCTTATCATAAAGATGCTGCATCTCCTCTTTGGTAACAGACAGCTCTGTCTTTAGCATATGCAACACAGAGCCAAGCTTATTATCCAACTTTTCATCCACTTGCTGCACAATTGTGACCTTACTTAGTCTTTTCTCCAAATCGTCATTGGGTAAAGCAGTTATTTGCTGCAAGTAAGTGGTGAGGTTATCTTTGTCCCTGTACCTGAGGTGTCTGGTTAGTAATGATATTTGTACCAGCAAGCTAACCGCCATTAGTGCATATAGGCTGGTATTTGGCAGATTAGCGTCCTCCTCAAAGATTGAATTCACGTAATAAGCGAAATATTGCCAATTTTAGCAAAAGAAAAATATTCAGCCATGATTTCACCTGATTTCTACTCTCTGACCAGCAGGTGTCACAGGTGTTCAGTTAGTCTGTGGGGCATCTGGCAGTGGTCGGTAGCATCAGTGGAGAGAGGTCACAAAGGCATCTGGACTTAGTGTAATGAGTGTAAGGCCTTGCAGCTTCCAGAGAAATGCCAAGGTCTACTCAGCTTAAGGGCAGGAGGCCTCCGGGTGCAGGTAGGCCCCAGTCATAGCCAGACCAGTGCACACAGCTAGAAACTGCAACAATAACTGAGGGGATGTCTGTGGAATTCTCCCAGCTGAGCAGATGGCTCAGAGAGGCACAGCGGCATTAGGAACGCACTTGTGGCTCAGCGGGTACACACTTGTGGTGCAACCAGTCGGCTGTGAGCTGTGAGTACCTGTGGAGATATGGAGCCCTTTTACGGACTATGGCATGGTCACAGGGAAACCTGTAGGCTCTCCCAAATGGGGCCTAGGTTTATAATATCCCATTCCTGACAACCAGATAATGGGGGAGATTACCAATACTGAGCTAGTTACAATACAAGGGGATTTAATAGGGAAGAGCATTACTTATAGAACAACCTAGCCAACCAGCAGGGCAGCATTCCCTACCACAAGCCAAAGATGAAAGCAAAAATAGGCAGGACAAATGGTGTAGACAACCCCAATTTAAAAAGATTCTATAAAAAAAAGCAGGCAGGTGGTGGCTCATGCCCTTTAATCAAAGCATGTGGGAGGCTGAGGCAGGCAGATCACTATGTGTTGGAGACCAGCCTGGTCTAAAGAGCTAGTTCCTGGACAGCCTGCAAAGTCACAGAGAAACCCTGTCTCTAATTCCCCTCCCCCCACCAAAAAAAGTTCTCACTGTGTATCCTAGGCTGGCCTTGAACTAAAACTCCTGTTACTTCAGCAGACCTAATTCCTAGCCTGTAGGATTAAAGGTGTGGGCTACCACACCCATATAAGGTGTGACTCAGGGAATCTTGTGTGGAGATTTGCTTGGGGAGTTGGACACAGACTTATTTCAATGCTTCATCCATTTAGAATAACAATGTTTTTATAGGAGATCACCTATAAGAATTCTGCATTAGTAAGAGTAGGCTTGAGCCGGACTTTGGTGGCACATGCCTTTAATCCCTGCACTCAGGAGGCAGAGGCAGGCAGATGTCTGTGACCCTGAGAGGAGCCTGGTCTAAAAGAGCTAGTTCCAGGACATCCTCCAAAGCCACAGAGAAACCCTGGCTCAAAAAAACAAAAACAAAAACAAAAACACCAAAAGGGCAAGTTTGGGAGTAATTGGGCGGGGTAGTTAAGACTATGTAAAGAGACTCCAGGAGCCATCCTGGTTCAGTCTTCTCTAGACCAGAGAGAGTGAGCTTCCATACCCTCTGCCTCCAGATACTGCTACATCGATCACCTCCAGGACTTGAGGATCAGACTCCAGAGCTGAACTGAGCTGCTGCTATTTTGTCCCCGCTAAACACTGCTGAGGCCAGAGAAGATCCCTTGGGTCAGTGCACAACTGACAAGAACTATTACTGGTAAATTATCCAATATATTTAAATACTTTATTATTTAAAAAGTACTTAATTCATTATGAAGCAGGTTTCTGCTCTGTGGTAACATTTGGCTGTTTGTCATCTTCCATTTGTAAATATAATGTAAGCTACTGGCACAGATAACTATAGATTTATCCATATGCACTCTTTTCTTGCATTGATATAAATCTTTTGTTTGTTTCTTTGTTTTGTTTTATGAGACTTGGATTCTCTGTGTAGCTTGGGAGCCTGTCTTGGAAATCGAACTAAAGACCAGGGTGGACTCAATAAGCAGAAATCTGCCTGCCTCTGCCTCCTAAATCCTGGGAAAAAGGCATTTTGCACCAATGCCGGCCCATTATTTAAATTTTAAAACTATTTTTAGAGGTTTTCTCTATGTACTTCATAGATGCAAGAGGTGCTGATACCTCTAAGTTAAATGAACACATTCAATACGTAAAGTTAAATGCTTTCAATGGATTGAAAATTACTAGTAATTAGAGATATTTTAGATAAATATTATGAATACAAGCAAGAACTTAGCAAGGTACCTTTTCTTTAGTATTTTTCCTTTGTAACTATAGAAAGATATCACAGTGTGAAATAACACTGGATTCCTGCTACTGATGTACATAAGGTTGGATGTAAACATGTGATCACTCAGTGATTCAATTCTGTGTTCCATTTTCATTACTTGTAAGTGCTTCTAAATCGTTTTGGAACAAAGTGTCTAATGTACAGCCTAAAAAGTTCCAAACCAAAGAAGGATCATCAGAAGGCAACATTCGATTGACAAACTCTTTTAAACTTTTATTTTTTTATTTAAACTATTAAATTTCGTTTTTTGGACACAGGTTTTCTCTTGCCAAGCACAGGACTGTATCACAAGGTCAATCACATTTCTGCAGTCTCTGCTTGTTTGGGGCAATAATAGCATTTCTGCTTTTCCTCCATCAGAAAATGGAGTCAGCCATCTCTCAAGCCTTCCAGGAAGAACTCATCTGCTTCATTTGCTCGAGCTACTTCACAGACCCAGTCACCATAAATTGTGGCCACAGCTTCTGTCGGGCCTGCCTCCACCTGTCCTGGGAAGACATCAAAGTTCTTGTCCATTGCCCTATATGTTGGGAACCATCACAGCAGAAGGACTTAAGAACAAACATTGTACTGAAGAAGCTGGTGACCATCGCCAGACAAGA